CTAGTTACTCCTCTAAGAATGAATAATAGTGCAATTATTTGCCAAAAGCAGTGAAGAAGGGATAGTTTCTGTTTTCAAAAATGAATGCTTTTCATTTTTGTAGAAAGAAACTGTAGATTACTTTACATAAGCTGCTAAACCATGGTGACCTGCAATTTTGCAATTACACTATATGATAATTCTGTCACCTCTATCAGAGCCTTATGTTTTTCCAGTGGTTCGAAGTAGCAATAAACTGACAAGTTGCTACCATGTTCAGATTATACTGGTGCCTAAAACTGTACCCAAATACCACAAAATATAAATAGTAGCCCGGCTGGTGAAAACATCAATTTGTCCCAATTAGACTTCGATTTCATTGGGATACTAAGAAGTAGTACTCTGTTTTCTTTGTCTGTGGAGGCACAAATAAATGGAGGATGGCGAGCCTTAGTTTTTCAAGAGCCTTGTTCTCTTTTGGAGACCCTATGTGTACCAAGTAGCACAAAGTTCTCTCTCACAGGTGTTAATGTCTAGCACAATGACCGTTTTCTTTAACTCACTCCAACTCCATCTGCCATTCTCTCAGTAATCCATTCAACAAGCGTTTATTGAAGACGTCTTATGATGCACTGTACTAAGTACTAGGAATTCAAAGTTAAATAAGACAACTTGCCCTTGGGAAGTTTGCAGGAAAGTGAAGATATAAACAAGTAAATAGGCACATTAACAATGCAGCAAATGCCACCAGGGAGGTAGGTAGGACCCCGCCCCACACACACATGCACAAATTCATTTACACATATGAACACACAAACCCGCTCTACCCTCTGAATGTGAATTTCCAAAAGTTCCTCTTTAAAAGTTTTGGAGCAGAGTCTCAGGAAAAAAAATTATTATTAAAATCCTCCAATTTTGTGATTTCAGTAGAGTCCGTGGGGATGTATGTCTGTGTATATGTGCATGTATGTCTGTGTATATGTGTGTAAATATGTGTTTTTATGTGGAGCCAACTTTACATAGCATTTTATTTAAGGATAAAATATTCTGAACAACTGATGCTTTAAGTGCTTGTATTAATTTAATACTCATTAAATTAGCTACATATTCTATTAATAGCACCAGGTGTTAGTTCACAACTTCTATCACTAACATTTACTGATATATCCCAATGATACAAAAAAGCCTGATCACTCGTTTGGGAAGACAGAGACTAAGAGGCAAAGTGATCTAAATTCATAAAGTCATGATATATACTCTAAGAGTAGACATTACCTTGTTTTTCAAATCCTGTTCATTTAAAGTATTCCTTTAATCAGTTAATGGTAGGCATTTGGCTCTGTCTTTCCCTGTACTTTCAGTACATAGAATAGTGCAGGCTCTGGCGTCAGACTGCCTGGATTTGAAATTAGGTTCTTCCCTTTACAAGCTGTGTGACTTCTACAAGCCTCAATTTTCTTATCTAGAAGATGGAGATAGTAATTGTAGCTACCTTTCCTTAAGAATATAAAATTGTTATTGTTGGGCCAGGCTCGGGGGCTCACGCCTGTAATCCTAGCACTCTGGGAGGCCAAGGCGGGCGGATTGCTCGAGGTCAGGAGTTCGAAACCAGCCTGAGCAAGAGCGAGACCCCATCTCTACTATAAATAGAAAGAAATTAATTGGCCGACTAATACATATAGAAAAAATTAGCTGGGCATGGTGGCGCATGCCTGTAGTCCCAGCTACTCGGGAGGTTGAGGCAGCAGGATTGCTTGAGTCCAGGAGATTGAGGTTGCTGTGAGGTAGGCTGACGCCATGGCACTCACTCTAGCCTGGGCAACAAAATGAGACTCTGTCTCAAAAAAGAAAAAAAAAATTGTTATTGTAGCCATTCTTTTTGTTTAGATATCTGTTCAACACTAGTCATTGAAAATTTCCTGTGTGCAAGGTATTGGGCAGGGTGGGGAATACAAAGACAATTCAGCCACTTAGAAATCAAGATGGACTTAGAGTTTTGGATTATTGTCCTGGAATTCTGCATGTTTTTCTAATTAGCTTAACAGATTTAGATACAAAAAATATATAGTAAGTAATGATTATGTAATCAGAGCTCATTGGTCTTATGGAAACATAGAAATAGTTGGTCCTTGGTAATCCAGTCACAACATTTCCCTTTCCCCAAACTTCATAGTTTTCAAACCATTTTAGCAAATCTTTGATGATACCTCCATTTATTCAGAAAAATAAAAATATTCTCCATATATTTTCAGTTTCCAATGATTGCTAAGATTCACAAGTTGTCTTTAAAATTTACTCGTGTGTATTTAAGGTATGCAAGTACATAGAGTAGGGAGGAAAGAGGGAGGTAGACAATAGAGGGAAAGACCAATATAATCCATGCATTTATGAAGCTTTTATCCCAGAGATACTACATCTTACTTTCACATCAAGGAATCTATGTCTTCCTTTGGGGCTGAGAATAAAAATGCCAAATGTCTATATTTTTTTTCTCAGCCATTCCCCGAAAGGCTTTATTTGAGGCTGCAAGAGCCAGGAATTTCCAAAGGGGAAACAAATCTTGAAAGGAGGCCCTGGGCAGACAATGCTAGCAAAAGAAAGGGAAGAAGATGTCCAAGCAGAAAAATCTGTGGAACTAAAATCAGATCAGTTGAATTGAAAAAAAGAAAAGAAAACAAAAGAAATTATCCAATTGGAAAAAGAGAACTTGTAAAAATATCTTGAACAATTATCCAATTGGGTGTTACAGCTTAAGTGAATTTTTCACTGAAACATTGATTCTAGCCAATTCAATTCAATCACATTTTCTCTTACCATCTCTATTTTCATTACACCATTTTGTTATGATGTCAACTGGATTTCTGAACTGACAATTATTTCATAATTCTGTCCAGATATATATAGTGTGCATTTCTGAATTTCTTTGGATTTAATTTGGAGATATCTTCAAAGCCCTTGGTATCTTACCTAATTTACTATTTAGATAGACAAATGAAAGAACATACGTTTCTTTCTGTTCTTCTACTGCTAACAAATAATTTTTAGGAGACCTTCAAGGAGATAGTCCCTAGAGTCAAACACAATAACAAACAGTAAAACTTAAACTGGTTTGAAGGCAAAAGAGATCACCTTTTTAAACATGCAAATGTCAGTCTCCCCATGCCTTCTTTATTTAGTACAGATGGTTAAGGCAAGCTTGACCTACAAAGTCACTTCGAGTCTACTCTGTAAAGGACCAAAAGCTCTTTGAACATATAGGCAGCTCCTGACCTCAGATTTCAAGATGCCAAGAATCAGTGGAGGTATCAATGTCATGTTCCAGTAGCTGTCATCGCATGGCAGCATCATGGCTAAGGTAGGAATGCTGCACATCAATGAGTTAAGCATTTAGAGATGGTTACCATCTGTCCTCGCTATTTATTCCTAAACAGGTACATGTAAAAATAACCAAGTGTTCATAAAGCAATTCTCTTACAAAAAAAAAAAATTAAGTTCATTAGCACATTCTGCCAGCGTTTTAAACAGCCATCTAGGTAATTCTGATACAGATGGTCTAAGGACTACACTCTGAGATGCACTGGTGTGTAGACAAACCCTCTCTCACTCAGTTGACAAACTGATCAAGCAGTGATTCCCAAGAATCGAGTCTGGTGCCAGGATGACTACTTAAGAATACAGAATCCTGAGCTTTTCCCCAGATGTACTGGAGCCCAGGAATCTGCTTATGAATCTGTGTATTTAAAAGTTCTTAGGAGATTCTAATAACACAGCCCATGGCATTAAAGGAAAGGGGTTAGGTTTTAGCTTAACACATCTGTGAGTCCTTGTTCCACAATTCACTAGTGCTTTGACCTTATGTAATATCTTTGGTCTATAAAATATTTTTTGTGAGGATTAAATAAAACAATGCATGTTAAGAGCCAAACATAGGTATGTTGGTTGCTCTTGTTATTCTATTATATGTCCAGCTCTAAGTAAAATATACAGAAGTAAAACGTGTGGTTCATGACTTTGAGAAGCATACAATCTATTTAGAAAAATAATATAAATATTACAACAATTTAAAATATGAGTTTGTCTTCTAAATCAGTACACACATGCCAAAAACCACACAATATTCTGAATAACAAAGTAGATTGTATGATAAAATACAAAGTATTACAACATAAGAACACGGGAAAAATCACATAAAGTTTACTTAAAAATGTTTAATTCTTCTACTTTAGGTGACCTAATTCTCATTAATTCACCAAACTTTTATTTAGATTACAGAAAAATACTAAAATTGTGAGTAAGTGAGTTATTTTATCATTTAAAATGAGAAGCAGAAAAAGAGCAGTGTATATTTGAGGAGGCAGTCTGTGGATATGCTTAGCCCAAAAAACCCCTGAAATTTTATACGGAAAGGTTGATTATGAGTATTAGTATTTCTGGGGAGAGTTCTATAGCTTTCATTTGATTGTTAAAGGGGTTTATAGCACCCCTAAAAGTATTAAAGACCACTGAATATTCCTATTCAGCACATTCTGGGTGCATCCTTATTTATGCTGAAAAAATTTAACTCCTGATTGCATTCCAAATAATTTACTTGTTTGCTTTCTCTTAACTGTCCTCTGACTCATTTTCCTGAAGCTTTACTGAGAAAAGAAGTAAGATTTCATGTAATAAAGCTATGAAGCAGAGTTTCATGGCTACCTCAGCCTATTCAAATTCTGCAGGCATCAGCATGGAAGTTTATGTACATGTTTTAAAAGTTCCAGGGCAAAGATTAACTGATGATCGTTTTCTAAGTTTTCCCTTTTCATTTTTGTATCCATTGCTCAGTCTTTTGAATTATTTTTGATTAGTTCTGTGTCTCTTTTCTTCTCAGGTAGAAAAGTAAAGGAACTTTCCTGGAAAGATAAAATTCAATTTTGCCAACTTGCGTTTTGCCAACCTAACTATATTTCCATTTGTGTTTTATTTATAATGTGGTAACAACACTATTGATGTTACATATTTTTATTTATCTCTTCCTTTAGGTGTGTGTGCAACATTGACTGTTCTCAGACCAACTTCAATCCCCTCTGTGCTTCTGATGGGAAGTCTTATGATAATGCATGTCAAATCAAAGAAGCATCATGTCAGAAACAGGAGAAAATTGAAGTCATGTCTTTGGGTCGATGTCAAGGTAATGTTCATACCAAAATTCATTTCAAAGAGTGTTCTTGGGCTTTGTGCAGAAATGAAAAGTGAAAATACCTCCTTATTAGGCAGCTATTTCATCTCCCAAAGGCAGTTCTGATCTGCAATGGATAGTAGAGTCCACTGTCTTATTTGTGTTGATTATAGGAGTTTGAGGGGCTGCCAACAGCAGTCCAAATTTCTTTTTATATAATGGGACTGTATCATCACAATGCAATAAATACAGAAGGTAATATTCAGAAAAAAATAGACATTCTTCTTGAATTTGACTTTCTTTTTAGAAAGTCAAAAGCAGTTTTAACAAAGAATCCAAGAATTTATTAGACGATCTTGAAATTTCAAACACATCACTTCTTTGTATGATTGGTTTAGTGGAAATATTTCAAGTGCATTTTTATTTTTTTTTATATACTCAATCAACACGTTATAGATTAAAATTTCCACAAAGTAACATTTAACATCAAGAGAAAAGGGGATAGGAGAGGGGTTAAGGAACCAATCCAAGGAGTATGACATGGACAAGAATAATGCCCTGGGCTGTTCCAGACGGTTGTCACAGCAGAGTCCTTGTTTTGGCCAGAGCCTTTAGTGGCAGGGGCTGGGTGCAGATCTTGAGTGACAGCAAGATGGTGTCTGTGGAGAAGTGCATTTTTAAAAACAGGAAGTACTAGAATGTTCTATTTTGAGTTTTGTTCAGAAATATTTTCTTGGTTTCTTTACTTGTTATTCCTTTATTTCTGTTATAATTTTGAACCTTCTTCTTGTCCCAACTTTAGAAAGGTGTCATTGCTTTATTATTTGCTCTCGAACAGAAATTGACATTGTAAATCTTTGTCTAAAGCATTTTTAGAATTATGGTTGGAAAAAATTCCTTAATTGCAATGAAGATACTGTCGGAGAAATAATGTAAGTTTGATGTTAGATATTTAGCAAACAGTTAATCAATGTTTGTCAATTTTTTAACACAGATAACACAACTACAACTACTAAATCTGAAGATGGGCATTATGCAAGAACAGATTATGCAGGTACATAAAATTTTCCATTACACTACCTGAGCACTTCTGTAAGATAATCTTGGGGAATCACTGTTTACCATGCCTCTGAAATTGAGCCTAGTAAGACTTCTGACATGTGCTGGTCTTCTCTTGCTTAGTTCAAGCTTTCAACAGGCAGCAGTAAATTTTTGTTGTTAAAGCAAAGAAGACATGGTTTTTTTTCGTGCCAGAGTTAAAGCAATTGTCAAAAATGTCAGTAAGATATAATTAACTTGTTTTGACAGTGTAAATGGTACAAATGACAAAACATTTATCAAAGTAATGGGCATCGATGGAAATTAATGCAGTTTTTGGCAGTATATTGTAATAAATGCAAATGTCCTTGTTTGCATTTTCATAAAAGTCAACAATAAAAAAGTTTGCTAGTTTCTAAAAAGATAGAAAGAAAGGACAACTACAAATAGTAATATAGGCTGTCTTTAGGTGCAGAATTTAAAAAGTATGTGTAATTTGTTTTAAAATTAAATTTATTTAATTTTTTGATTTATTTAGAAACTACAGTATAGCTTCTCAGACATGCAAAATCATAAACAATTTTATATGAAAATATAAATCTTATTCAGAAATTATAGAATTTCATTGTGAGGAATATCTCTACCTAATATACTGTTCCTAGAGTGAGAAATAACTTATGGGTATACATTGGAATTTTATCAGATTCTAAATTTTATAGAAATTTGGAGTAAAAAATATAAAAATAAAATTGTTGAAGTTGATAATGATATATCATTATTGATATATTGAAACTAAGAGTTTCATAAAGCTCTTTTTGAAACAGAGCTTTTCATTTAGATATTAAAGAATTATAATGAGTTATGGCTAATATTGAATCAAAAAAGAATTGCTTCTTTTCTTTCAAGGTATATACTACCATTCACTCTTTCTTTCTGAAATTTTGTTGTCTTTAACAATATTTCTGAGATTATATACAGAATAAATGTTTATGAAATTGAAAAAAATTAGTCTATCAGATGTTTTACTTATTGATATCTCAAATCTCTTAAAATTTAAAAATAATAAAAGGATTCTTTTTAAAATTTTTCCATATTTTACCTTAATGTTTTTCAACTTTTTATGGGCTAGAAGCCTGGAATTATCATGGACAATGGTACAGGGAAAAACATTAGTTCTACTGTTATATGGCCATTCTCAAAGTGTCCAGGAGGAATATTTATAGATGTTGCTTGAAAAGAGTAGTCCAGTGGTAAGTAGTCCAGTGATCTTTTACCCAGAACTCCTCTTATGTTCATTTAAAAATCTTTAAGAAACATGCATCTTTTATTAATTTTTTTACTTTTGTTATGGGGAATTTTTAATGTATGCAAAGTACACACTGTAGACTGTATGCTATAATGAACCCACATGTATTCATCATTCAAACTCAGTAACATCCACCCCTGGCTAACACAGCCCCATCCCCACCCCATTCTCTTTTCCTACTTCCATAATACATGGGAGTAAATCCTTAAAATTGCATCATTTCATTCATAGTTTAGTGTCCATCTCAAAAAGATCAACCTTTTTTTAAAAAAAAAATCACAATACCATAATCACACCAAAAATAATTAATGTGTTCCTTAAAATACACACCTTTTATCAAAATTGTTTGATAAGTAACACATTTTTGTGGCATGTTTTTCAGTACTAGAGTTCCCAAGAATGCATTTTGAGATATCCTGATCTACAGCAATATTATTAAAAATAATAAAAGATAACAATAGAAAATCAAAGACTGATGCCAATAATATATTTAGAAATCAATTAAATGATAGTCTCATTCCTCAACATTTCCAAGCTTCTAGTAGTATTTGCATTTTCCTAAATTTGGGGACATAAACTTTGAAAAAAACTAAAAGGAACCAAATGGGCAGTCAGTATGTCATTGTCCTCTTAATTTCTATTTCACATGTTAAAAACTCTCCACTGGAAAGGATGGAAAAGAGGAATCGTGTGACCTGTGTAACTCACATCCTAAGAGTTTGCTATGTACTCACAGCTAATTTAGTGTCACAGCCGCTTCCCTTGTTAGACACACATTCACGGACTCTCCCACCAGAGGGAAGTAATGATCTTAACACCCTCCCATTTTTGCCTTATATATGTCCTTACTACTATAGATTAAAAACCTTTACCGATCCTACTTCCCTTTGTCCCTTTGAGCCTACTTTTAAAAAGCTGTTAATACAAAAATACATGTTTCTGATTATAAAAACGGAGACCTTCTTTAAAGAAAGTCTAAATCATAAAATAAAATCATTATGTCTCATTTTAATATCATTTAAAAGAAAGAGATTCCAGCAAGGACCAGCAGGGACTGAATTATTTTTAAAAAATGCAAACTAAGGGAGCAACACCTCCAACAAAACTAATATGTGCAGTAGACTAGAGTGTGGCCAACTTGCACAGAGATGTGAATTCTACAATCCTTACAGGTACATAAAAGTAATCAGCACCAGGAAACCAAAGAATTTGCCAGATAGTTCCTGCCCGTAGTACTTTCTGGCTGTGTCTGACTTGGGTCTCTGTTCTGCCCTCTGTCTTTTAATGAGACCCAAGGCATTACTGGCTCTTACACTGAGGGCTCTGGATTTCTGTGTTTCAAGGCCCAGTGACAGGATCCCTGTCAGATAAGCTAAACAGGCCACTTAATTTTATTCTCCCTTTATCAGTCTTAAGGTTTCGGTTTAGAGTTAGATCTGTCTCTTTACCCACAGAAATGTTCAGAGAACACAAATTTTGCAAAACCACAAAGCCAGGGCTTTCCAAGCTTTCCATTGTTTGAAATTGCTAAAATTAAACTTTCCTTCTGGAAGTTTTAAAATAGCAAATATTTTATACCTCTTGAAATTTGCAATATCTTTTTATATGTATCTCCCTTTCATGTCTTGTAATAAAAAGTGTAGTTCAACATTTTTTTTTCTTTATCTGGTATATGTATTTTCTGATTATGGTGCTTCTTTGTCTAAAAGTCTGATCATGCTTCAGAAAAAAGTGGCTATATATTTTTCTAGTAAAAATGTACTTCACTTTATAAATGGTTAGATATTTTTAAAAGCAATGAAGTTAAACTATTTTGTTTTTATCATTTAGAAAATACAATGTATTTTATTTTGTGGCATCTCGTACCAGTTTCCAGAAAGGATTTGCAGTGTCTTACAATTAAACTACATTCAATGAGATTGTTTAAACAGAAATTGAAAACATAAAAACAGAATTGCTAAAGAAAATAAATATATCATCAATATAGACTGTTACAGTCACTGTATTTAGCCTTAAGCTTCCTTGCAGCCAATATAAAAAGAGAAATTATAGTTGAATGAATTCATTCAACAAATATTTACAGAGCCCCTGTTATATGTAAGCCACTGTCTAAGCTTTACAAAGGCGAACAAATCAACCTAGGTCTCTGCTAAGCTAAATGTACCTTAGGTTTTTATTGTCTGATAAAATTAATAAAAAGTAATTTCAGAGACCACAGACAAAGTTTCTCTATGTTATATTACAAGGAAAATACTTAGCATAGATCTTTCTATAAGACATCCCTGGAAAACATAGAATGAATAACATTTTCAACAGTGATTTTTAGAAAATATGCCAAGAGGCTCTTCTTATGGCTGGAAATTTTTAAAATCAATTTTTGACAACATTCTAGAGCATAGCAATAAAATATGTATAACTCAAGGATAGTGTTTCTCTGGCAGACTAAAGTAATGAGTTTCATTTATGTATATTTCCAAATTGGAAAAGAGAAAAAACAGAGAATACTGAGGAAAATGGCTGTGAGGGGGAGCACACATCTGTAGGTTAAACAGGAACTGGATAGCAAAACATTCAGAACATCTTAGTTAAGATAAAGAACATGTGAGATTATGGTATGTACGTAGGAAAAAGAAATTTCCTCTGTTATTAGTGGCTGTTAGTGAATAATGTAAGTCCTTGGTTATCTATGCCTTTCGGGGGGGAGGGGTGGGAGCCAGGGTCCCCTATCTCTGTGTCTGGTACAGGGATGCATGGATTCCATGTTGAGTATTACACTATGGAAGTTCATTATTTCTTGTAACATTTAGATTTACTTTTGAGGAAATTTTGTCTTTAGAAGTTCATTCCTTATCTTCAAGCAGTAATTTAGATATTAAGCTCAGGTCTGAATTATGGAAGAAAGAAGCAGGAAGTATATAGTTAAACCAAATGCTATCCATTCTATTAATATTCCATCAACCCATTTTTCCATGCACTAAAAGGAAACTGACATCTTGAAGTGGTATCTAGATAGTCTAAAGGAATTGTCATAATAGCTTGTTCTCTGCAGAAGCCATGGCAATTTACAAAGCATTTTCACATATATTGTCTCCTTTAGTCTTCACAACAGAAATGTGAAGGAGATATTACATGCATTTGACAGGTGAGAAATGGAAGTTCAGGGAGATTAAGTAAAAAGAGTATGTGTTGGAGCTAAGGTTCAAACCATCATCACTAATTCCAGAATCCAGCAAGTGTGAGGACCAGGAGAGAAAAGTCATTACATAACATTCTTAGGGGCCTTAAGACTGCCTCTGCACCCTGAAGATTAACCCCTTGGAAGTTCCAGACCCAAAAATGTTTCACCATGATGTCTACATTGCTGTGAGATGCTCCAAAGAGTTACTCTTCTCTTTGAATTTATGTCTATATATTCTAAGCATCCTGTAAATGCTGTATTGTTTGGCTTTGAGATTCTTGTGTTCTATTTCCTATTTCTCCATATGGACAAGAGAAAGCAAACGAAAAACCTTTGCTACTGAGAAATCCTATATTAATGAAAAAGAAATTGCTGACCTCTTTGTGATAGTTTGTAGTTTTACAAAGATTCATTCACATTACCTCATTTGTTCTATGTGAACCCAATACTACAGGGGTACAGATAGTAAAGGCTCAAAAAAGCTAAGTGGCTGACCCAGACCTGGATGCAATATTTTGACGTATTGACCACA